TGTTCTTGCCAGGACCCTACAGTTGAACCGGTTGTATTGCAATTAGATTGAAGCTTCAACCACAGTAGAGCAATTCGGACCCGATAAATTCAAGTGTGACAGGAGTTTTGTAGAGGGCAGAGTACATTGATTCAGCGAGTGAGATGAAGCGATCTAGAGAGCTCCAACAGACAGATATAACAGCGTGTTGAAATTTGATTATTCTTCCTTGAATAGTCCAGTTCTGTCGGTCGATGCACAACAGATCACTTCTGATTGGTTTAAAATTCGATTTATGTACGAGGTCGCTGGTCATGTTGGGTAGAGTTTCGGCGTACACGCGAAAGTCTGAGAGATGTTTTACGACTCTCTTGTAATATGTATGGAAACAACTTTTATTTTATTTTTTAAAAAAAAAAACGAAGATTTATATGAAGCGTCAAGCCAGAGGTGGAAAGGTTTATGAATTTTGAGTTGATAATATGGCAGGTTCATGTCGCGGTATGTTTTAAGGTTTATCCTGAATCTGCCGGGTTGAAGTAAGAAAATTACGAAAAATCTTTGACCTTCGGTCTCCCAGTTACTATTCGAACTGAGAATCTCCAGCTTAGCAAATTAGAAGTAGGTACTAAAACACTACGCTGTGAAGTAGTATGTACTGGTGGTGGTGTTGTTCTGGGTTGTGAAGCCGTGTAGACTCTTACGTGGATTCCTGCGTTTCGGAGAAACATGCTGTCTCCATCTTCAGCCTTAAAGATATCGTGGTAGCCGCCTAAGAGTGTACACGACGTCACAACGCAGAAGAACACCGTCATCCATCCGTGTTTATGGCGTGCACTTAAGCACGCTTGACTTACGTCGAATATCTGATCGTAATCGAATTCTCGGAGGTTGGGCAGGGACTGGAGGACCACTGTCGCGCCGCCAGTCGATACTGCAGTGTCTGCGACGAAGAGTCGAAGAAGGTTCTGGCACAGGCGATGGCCGTCGTCGGCGACGCACAGTTGCACCAGTCCTCTGTCCGTGATCGGGGTGGAGGCAAGATTAAGCTCGCGGAGGTCAGGACACGCCCGTCCTATCTGACGTAGCAGCTGTAACACGTGAAGCATATCTTCTGCCTCATTCTGAGCGTTCCTCCGCCTGCCATTAGCACGGGAACTTGTCGGTGGGTCAGATTTAAGCGAGGTTAGCTCTTGATGCGATAACATCGGGAATTGAGACGGAACTGGCTTAAATAGTGCCTTGTACACCCCACTATAAAACAAGTTATTTTTCCTGCTTTAGCAAGAGGAATGCTCCCATTGCCAGTAATAGAAACAACTCAAGAGTTTCTGCGTTTGGTGACATTTATTTGTGAACCCCCCCTGCGAGTAAATTGGAGCATTCAGTTGTAAGTCACATGTTCATCGGGCGATTTCTAACATTGTGTTTGATCTAATGTACCTGGTCTACGGTGAGTGTCATCCTGAGGTTGAGGCTCACCAAGTTCGAGAAGCAAGGCACGAGTCCCATCAGGACACTGGGGTTCATGTGCCTCAGGTACGAGATATTCAACTGTTTGAGGCTCTGAAAAGAAAAGAAAAGAAAATTGGTGTCTACATCTTCTCAGTCGAAATCAGAATTATTACGATAACTGGACATTTTCTTTAAAACTACCTCAGTTTCTCCACAGCGCCCTCATTTCGTTCGTTCTCTGTAATCCTTGTTTTTGGTTGGACCTGTATCCGGACTCTCCTGATATATCTCTATTTATTTTATTTATTACATAATGTTGTTTTGTCCTCATTCCACATTGTATCCCCTGCCTGCTGTAAGGTTCTGTCTCTCTCTCTCTCTCTGTGTCTCCCGTCTCTTTGGCTGGGCTGTGTACCCCCCCCCCACTTTCCCATGCCTAACCAAACATTTTCGCCCTCGGCTTACTCATTGCCCTGATGATGGAGACAGTAAGCGCCTCCGAAACATCGGTCAATTTCTACCAGGGTACACGCGGCCCAACATCCCAGAACACAGTCATCGTTTCGCCCATTATTTTACGTAACATTTTTTTATCTTCATTTTCTGTATCCATGGGGCGCAGGCCACCAGAGAGTGGCTGCTGCTCCGCCGAGTGAGTGCCTTGCCATTACCGGTACGCTGTTTCATTACGCATCGTAGCGTACGGATTTATCCCTCGGATCAGTGGCGGAGTGTGTTTCATGTGTCGGCCTCCAACTGCGATTGCAATTACAAATACCCTTTTCTGTGACCCCGAAAGGAAACGCAGCTAAAATTACGGGGCGGAAGGGGCAAACGAAATCACGTAGTTTGTTGCTGACGTGTTCATTTCCAAGTTTAATTGCCAGAAAATGAATAGCTGTCGCTAACAGACAACATAACGAAGCCTGGAATCTCCATTGGATAAGACTCTGGAGTCTAACTGGAGAGAATGTCAGGTTGCAGGCGACTGAAGTGAAGGAACAACACTGCCCTTGATCTCAGAATGAGACTTCCTAAATGCATGCGCTGTCCTGAAAACCGAAGTCTGTCTAATACAAATTCAGTCCGTACCGCGAAGTAAACATAAGGCTTCTTCATTACAACGATCGATTGGTTAATACCGTTTTATATTTGTTCCACTTTCAGAATATCTGTTGTTGGTTCTACAGTTTGACTGTGTATGTTTGTTTACTCGTAATGTAATGAATGTGATGTCATGAGAGGGCGTGCTGTTTCGCACCCAGTGTCTTCATGTCATGTCAGTCAATTTCCACAGGAATATACAAGTGGCTTCTGTCGACTGCCAGTCAAATTTGAAATGTAAACACACAATATACGGGCTGTGTGGAAGTATCAGCATCCTTTTGAGATTCTGAAGGAGTTGGGCCAAGATGAAGTTCAGGCACTGAAGGTCGTCTTGTCCTGCAGTTTTTCAGAAACATTTTTGACAACTAGAGGTTTTTTTTCCGTTCCGAAATAAATTCGCGAATCTTTCTTCCTAATCTTCTGCTAAATTACAAGTTTTAGGCCATTTCTCCGTCTCTTGGGAGAAAGAAATTTGCATTCTTGTGGGCATAAACTCGTGCACTTTAAAGTACTTTATTGATGTGGTACAGTTGGTTACAGGTGTGGGGGAAGTTGGAAATCGATGCAAATTTCCAGCGATTACCACAGCAAACCCTCCTCTGAACTAATACGATTTTCTGGATTTTGCCACAGTGACTTTAGGGATCTGTAATCTCGAGTCTTAATCTATATGCAAATCCAGATGTTGGGCCTGTTGATGGCACGTAAATAAATTCACTGATTTTGATGGTTAGCGGGCGTGCTGCTAAGTAAGGTTAAAATCAACGGTTGTGTTTCAAAATGCCCTCGTTCTTGTAAACAGCATTGCTTATAAAATAAAACACTCTAAGCGAATGGGTTAGAGCCGCTGTATATTCGGAAAGCTTTAGAAGTTGAAAGCAATCAGAAAGTAGCACCAGTTATGTACAGTATGCATATATTTACCTTGCAGCGCGCAGCTAAGAGTCTGAAGGCGGTGAGGAGATCTCCAATGCCGTGCGAGGACCAGTTTGTGAGGAGAGGGGTGAGAAGGATGTGCAGGTGATGGCGACGTAGGTGTGTCACGTGTTTCACTTCCTCCAACATGTCCTCCAGAAGCTGCGAAGCTGTGGCACGGCCCCATCACGGAAAAAAAGACAAGCAAACTCCAGACAGACAGGATTCGGCACATGGGCCATGTTCGAAAACGGCCCAGAGGTCATAGCTAACGTCTGCGAGTCATGATGTCAGCAGGTCACCTGTTTGTTCAAAACAAAACTTCTCAAATAATTTAGAAGCTAGGTGAGACTCAGGTTTTCACAGCGGCGAGTATGAAGATGGCTGTCTTCTGGGATATTGCGCCATGTCTGGGCGTTCGCCCCCTGAGATGGACGCAGTAAGCACCACTGAAAAGTCTGTAAACTTCTACCGGACCACACGGCGCAACATCCCAGATGACATCCATTACGTTAAGCCAAGTTTCCTTGATGTTGTAGCTAATAGTTTTACTGGAGACTTCAGCACGTTGTTCGAACTTTCAGACATCGGCGGTAAGTGAACGCTGAATGGGGACGAGGCTTTGATAATGTGAGTCAGGCGATCTGCTAGGAGGAGGAAGATAACTCTGCCGTGATGCTGCTCTGTCTTCAGATACCGTGAGTTAAAACATATTTTTAACATACTTGTTCTTCAATGGTGGTTATAAGAATGTGTTTCTGCAGGAACGTTCTTTCCATTGGATGTAGTCGTGTTCTTTGCAAATACGGAGAGCCTAAGTCGCCGACTCCACAGCCCCTGCTAGTAGCAAATATGCATAGAAATGGGTCGCAGTTGGTATTCAGGTCTTGAAATGAGAGAACCAGAGGGAAGGGGGAAAAGTGCGCTTTTATTTTGAAATGTCGTGGTTAAAGAGTGTTTGAGACGAAGTCCCGTAAGCTTCAAGAAATGGCTGAAATGAAAAGGAAGTAGTGAGTGACCAGTGCTCTGTTGTGTGCTGGCCTACGAAGCCACAGCGGGTCGAGGGGTCGAGTCGAAAGACAAGTGATCTCTGGGGAAATCAGGGCCGGCCGGGTGGTAGGTGACTTTGTGTGACAGTCAAATCAAACCATTTATATGAGGCTCCAGTGCCACAGGGCGACACAGACAAGAATTCCCGACCTATCCCTCAGAAAATACTTGATGTGTAATGCAAGTGATTTTTACGAAGTAAATACGAAACATGTTTATGGTTGTCTACTAGATTGTGGCGCCGTGTTTAGCTTGTAGGTGGATTCCAGCTTCTTGGAGGAACGTACCGTCTCCACCTTAAGCCCTGAAGTTGGAGACTGTGTGCTTAATTGAAAAGTTGGTATCTACCTGTAAGTCCACATGACCGAGAAGACACCCTGAAGTCTTCGCCGTGAGAACCTCGTCTCAAAAGGTGCTATTTCTAAACCATAAGCATTATCATGCAGATACTTTTAAATGTCGTGTGGCTGTGAACGTTCATTCTGTTGCTTAAGAACAGTAAGTCTGACTTCGTCGAAGACTGAGTTTATGAAACGTCGTGCGTTTTATGATTTAGCATATTTTTACTCTTGGAGTTTATGAAACGTCGTGTTTTTTATGATTTAGCATATTTTTACTCTTACTGCGCATAAATCAAGGGGCCAGAAGTTTTTTGTATGGCGTTTTAGTCGTCGAAATCGGTTGAGTAGGCAGAAGTTTCCCGGAAATAGATTTTCAGTGGACCTTTGCCAGAAGAATGTTGTGTACGCTTGCACGAAATGCACTGAAAATAAAATGTCTGACTCCTGTGTGATTATTTCATTGGATCCTGGGAGTAAAATTGTCTCGGCGTCTCTACTTACCTGCTAACGCACAGAAGTAAAACATGGGATGACTGAACGTAGTAGCTGTTGGAGGCGTGAGTTGTTATGGCGACACAGAGCAGAGTGCAAAGGCGGCGATTGGCAGGGTTGGTAACAGTGCAAATGTATTGGCGAATTCTGTCTGCAGCGAAAATTAATTACGCAATCCGAAAAGCTATTATTTTTTAAGCGAATTAACCTGAAAATCCGTTACTATGCTTTACACAGGAAATAGAGAGCAGATACTAAAGTTTTTGCTTAAGATGGCTCTGGCTTTTTATAGGTTCTTCCTTTCCTTGAACATGATTCAGAACTTGCAATCAAGTGCGTTAATACAGGCAGTGGTTAACGGGAATTGCATTAAATGCGTTAGTAGCCTAAGTTGTGGCTGAAAAAGCGGCAAGGCCTGCATATTTTATAAACCTGATGGCATGGCGGAAGTTGTTCCGATTTCCCCCCCTCAGCAGAGGAAGGCACAGGGACATCAGTACTTCCTCATGACTGTCTGTGGAACGACAGTTTACTGCTTCGCCCATTTAGATTCGTCAGATATAATTGCATCCTCTTATTATTTGATTTTAAAAGACAGTCGTTAATTAATGTGTATATCAATATTTTGGATAGTATTATTAAGTTTATTACCATATGTGCAAAGATTTACCGAACGTGCCTCTTGGAGGTTTAGTAGAAACTTATTTTATCTCCGCCGTTGGGAAAAGTCAGTATTTGGTGTGAAAATTAAAAAAAAAAAAGCTGTCTGGAAATACATGTGTGAGCCTATAAGCTTTAAGCTACAAAGAGTTCTTTGCTTGAGGTTGAAATTATTATGAGGTTTCTGTTAAAAATACGTAGAAAATCATTCTGTCAGTAGGATGTACAGAAATTTCGTACTTGAGATTACAGTATCGAAATTTTCATTGTTTGGGTTTCTCATACATTTGTAATTACGAGCTTGTTTACTAGCAAACACCACAAGTTAAATCCTAAGAGTCGTCTATTAAAGAAACAATAGTTATATAAACATTTCATAACAGAGAGACGGTGATGTTTTCAGTTTGTGTAGCAGGTACAATGCACACAATTTATCTTGGCGTCCGAGAAGGAAGGGGGAAAGAATGATGATGCGCTTTGCTCAGTGCCATGACGTATGAGCCTTGTAACAATGGAACGAACACCGCACCGCTCATAACGTCGTGTGATAGGCGAGAACCTTCTTTGCCGTCCCGTTGCGTAAACCAAGCCGTTACGATCAGAGCCAAAATTTCTACTGCGCAGACGCCAAGTAAACTGATGCGGATAATAAGAGTTTTGAATACAACCGGTTAGTAGTGCTGGGCGGCATTCAGTAAATCATACTGATTATGAATTAACACGTACAAAACTACGAGAAAGTCACTCTTCGTTTCAGAAACTATGAAAGTTCTGGTATTATGTTGGCGCAGTGCGTATCATTTCATGGTATTATTAAGCTAGAAAATTTGTATTGAACAAATCTTATGCCTTCGCCCTAATGGTATTATTGAGCTAGTAAATTTTTATTGAACAAATCTTATGCCTTCGCCCTTTTTTTAAGGTTAATGACATTAATATTTGTGGGAATATGGCGTATTCTAAAGTTGAAAAGCAACGGTTTTAGAACATTCTAAAGAGGAACTGCTTCAGACAGATTGTTTACCTGCGCCGTGTTCACTATAGGCTTCTTTTAAATACAGCTTAATTAGTCTAAGTAGACCATGAATATTCCGAATTGAATTCCCTCCTGACTGAACCCTAGGCTTTATTTAAATCCGTAAATAGCTGATGTTCTGTCCCAATGTATTTCAGTTTTCTCTCCAGTGTCTGACGAATGGCTTGTATGTTAGTATTTGTTAGTGTGACTAATGTGTTACTTTCCTTAATGAAAGGCGGTCCATTCGCTAGGCTGTGTCGTACAGAATGGTGATAAAGTAGAATCTGAATAGAGGATTTTGTCGATGCTGTCAGAAGGACAGGAAGACTGAAATGTGTATGTACAGGACTGTGACTTTCTGCTACCAAGAGTCATTTGTTGGCCTCAGTAATATCTCCGCCATGTTGTAGACTCCAGTCTTAGTTGTACTGAATAAGAATTTCACTGTTGTGGAATCCTAAGGTTTCTAACACCAAAATAACCAGTTACCCTGAGTCAGTTGAGTGCATTACACAAACTTTTTTACCCCCGAGCTCTGGTTTAATTTTAACATCACAAGTGTTTTCTGTTAAAAGTCTAGACCAATTTTATAAACAGTTCTTGACTTTCTGCGACGCCCGGTAGCCTCGTGTGTGCTTATCAACGTTTCGGATTAACGTATTACCCCCATAATGGGTGTAGAAGATTGAGGCGGTACATCCCAATCTCATATATGTCTCTAAAGTTTCTTTACACGTGAAACGAGGCCTTCAAGCTAAGAACAACCAATCAGCTTTAGCTTGTTTTTAAGGAGCACTGAATAGTTTTGAAGCATACAGGAAACCGTGGTGTATGTTGCTGTTTTGACACACAATTTTATGCAATACGTCTCGAAATTAATTCGTGTCTCGGATGTACATCATTTGCATAGCACACCAACATAATACCGTAATAGTTTTGTAATTTACCTGGGTTTAAAATTTAAAATTTGGAATGAACTTTCTCGCAATCCGATACGTGATCGCTGGTTTAATGTCCGTTACCTTGCAACGTTGCTTCATAAATTCAAATCCATGATAAGAGTCTCCCATTCCGAATGAGAGGTTGAGGTTCTGGATCTGCTTTTGCAAGAGTACATGGAGGTGCTTCCGGTGGAGGGCGCGGTACTCGCTGATCACTTCCAGCATTTCCTCCAGCACGGAGTTTGCTATAAGAGACACACACACACACACACAGTGCACCACCTGGTGGCGGCATTAACACTTTCTAAGAGAACCACGAGACGTCCGAACGTACTGTACTCGTTTTTCTTTTCCCTGAAACATATGCCGTATTTCGGAGCTTGAACATTCGAGTCTTCGATTGTGGTTTCACAGTTTACAAGATCTCGAACAACGACGCACTTTTTCGAGGTATCACGTTGCTCTCACATTCTGAGATTTGAGGCTGAAACGGTGGTGCGATTGTGGATTGTGGTCTTTTGGGTTGTGATGCCACGAAGTGTTTAGTGGTCATAGACGTAGCCACGGTGGTCTAGCGGTTAGAACGCTGGCCTTGTAAGCCTGGGGTCTCGGGTTCGATTCCCGGCGGTGCCCGAATTTATAGCTTGTGTTGGGCAAGGCCGTGGTCTAGGCAACACTGAGTTTTCCTCCGTGGCATCCCAACAATTACTCCATTCACACACAGAAGAAGGCAATGGCAAACCACTTCTGGATCATCTGCCAAGAACGTATATGAACAGGTCCCAGTCCGAGAAGAGAAAAGGATGGAAGGATCCTGTTCATATGGACCTGTCGTCACACAGAACACTAAATAAAAATAAGACGTTTCGGAGGAACGTGCCGCCTCCATCGAGGACGTTCTTTTCCCCTTTAAATGTCGCGTCTCTAAACCCATACCAAAGCCATTATCTTTAGTGAAAAAAACTTTTCATTGCGTTGATACTTTTGTTTATCTTGAAAATTTATTTACTGTGGCCGATTTTAGCGATTGAAGTGATTGATAATCGATTTCTCCTTTACAAAATGTTTTCAAAGTTTTTCTGTTACTTTAATTAGGGACTCTAATACGCTGTCACATGTAGAGATAATCCTCCAGGAATTTATGAAAAATGTTTTATGTATTTTAAAGAAAATGTTTCTAATTGATGAATGTGCATAATAATTCGTATAATTCGGGCTCCGTGTTTACGAGGGCAACCTCTACGCATATAACAGATGACACCGCAGTAAGTTCACTAATCGCCAATTCTGACGCATGTAGTGGGTTAACTTCTCGTAAATCTCTGCATTATTCAGTTTAATGAAACGCGTTTTATCCACGGTGAAAGGTGATTACGCTGCACGTGACGTCTATGCGCAGTTGTAGACCCTAGGGAATGCTAACGCCATGGAATTGTTGGCTTGCAATTTTTATGACTGTTCCAAGTACAAATTGGCGTTTTCGATGCAAATCTGCAGTTGATTCCTGGTATTTAGGGATTAAAACGGACTCGTGTAGGTGCCTTATGATTTTCTATCTGTTGTTGTACGTCCTCTGTATCTTCCTGTCGTTTATCGATCCACTATGGTCTGTAGCTAATTTTTTGGCAGTCAAAACGCTGCTTCGGATAAAAACATGCAAACCTGTTGAAACGCCATATTTTTACGAAGCAATGTCGAAGGCTGTCAATTTCTGCGAATATTTATTTCCATCTGTTGTTGAAGTTGTATTTTATTTTCTTGAAGAGTTTTTGTTTAATTTTAACCGTCTAATCACAATAAAATATTTTATTAAATATTAAAATATTATTATTACAATTAACATTTAGTATTTAAAATATATTAAAATGATGCTCTTTCTATCGAAATGTTCGATTTACAATTAGAGCATCATATTTTTCACGACATGTTTCGGTTTTCAATGAACCATCTTCAGAGATTTTAATTTTCATCTCGGACCAAATTTTCACAAATTTTCCCAGATTGCTGTTCTGGAAATCATGTCCAAGGAATTCTTATCCTGTCCACTTGGGAGCGGTGTGGGGCGGGAGGTAGCCAACTAATGGGATATATTAATTTAGGGCTGCGGAATTGGGAATTATGATTAGCGGAGCTACACAGAATATTCCATGCCATAAATGTTGATTGTTCCTGCTTCCAACATAAAGTAAGCCAAATGTTAATATTCATTACTGTACGATGTAAATGTTACTCTAGAACATTTTATGATTCAGTGGTAGGAAAACCATGCAAATTCATTTGTTTAACCACGATCTTGTAGTGTTTATTTCGTGCATATTTGCTATACAAAAGCATCTGAGTGTCCAGTTGATTGCTATGTAGCATTGTAGGTGGTTAATCCTTTGAAGTACAATGGTAAATATGTGTACCATCTGCTTCAGTATTCAGTAACATTTTGTCCACACGTCGTATTTTTGAGTTTAATATGACTCTCAGAATAAACAGCGATCATTCTTGCTTTCTTTGTATTTAAATATTATTCAGACGATCTTAGGCGTCCAACGCAGATCATAGTGTACATTTTCACCGCCGTGAACATCTCAGGTTTAAGAGTTGTTTTATCTATGCTCGTCTATCATCGTCCCAGGATACCCTGAACAAGCATCAGGGTCTCACACTCTCTGTACTAAGTTCGGGGCTTCGTCTCTGACCGGCGCTTGGCTGTTCTCAGAAAGTTTTTTTATTAACGACACAGATCTCTGACTGTAATTACCGTCTGACGACTGCAGATTCTGTGTTGGACGCCAAGTCGTCGGTGTCTGGTGTTTGAGTAACACAGTGAAGTCATTTCGCGATGTTTTCGAGTCGGATGTGACAGACTCGACGGTGGGGTGAGTTTGTCGTGATGAGGATTAATGCGAAGTGCGCGCGATGTGGTTCATTAGTTTGTTCGGTGGGGAGACGTGATCCACTCTCTCGCAGTGACTGAAAGCAAATTTTGCGATAAGATTTCACTTGTTGCTGGAAGACTTTGTCGACGTAGACTTCGAAACACGCGGCAAATCTTATTCGCCCCAAAGTGACACGTATTGCGATATATTGAGAACTACTCGTGTCATAATACAGGACGAAGTATTAATGTGAGAACTAATTTTTAATCTTTGAGAGTGTAATCGCAAGGCAGAAGTACAGAATGAAACTTTGCAAATTTGCTAGCAGTTTTTGTTCCCTTACTCCGGATAAGCGTAGTAATGGGTGTATTAAGAGGTTATGCAATATCGCTGTCTCAACTGCAGAAGCTACTTGGCGGACGTCGTTTAGACTCATCGGTAGATGCCAGTGTTTCGGAAAACTTATTGTCTCCATCTTCACGGCTGGTTGATTTTTGGGTCATGTAACGACACTTTATCAGCTACATGTTTATTTTCTATTGAATGAGGTGGGACAGAAAGGGCTGGGAAGTGGACGCGGCTTATTTTAAAGTATTCCAGAATTCGCTTGAAGATGTAGGACGATACGGACTCTTACGGGAGTCAAACTTGGAATACTTTCCCGTTGCAGGAGCTGATCCGTATT